GTCGTGACCACCGAAGGTAGCAAGCGTTCCTGACTGGGGCCGGGGAGAGTAGGAGGGAGAGAAGTGACTGTTCAAATGCTGCCTATCACTGAGCCAGGGGCATCTGTCTCCGCCGGGGGAGGAAGGACCCAGGAATTACAGGATCACGTTGCTGTTTCCAGGGAGAGCGCCGAAGGGAAGCAGGCAGCCGGTACTGAGTTTACTATGGATCTGGCACCGGCCCAAGGGCTCACTGAGCCTCATCTCATTAAATCCTCATGGAGGTAGAAGCCGTCACTCTACTTTGTGGGAAAGGAAACGAAGGCTCAGAGAGGTGAAGCAACTTGCCCCGGGTCACACAGCAAGGAAGAGGCAGAACTGGTTTCAGATTCCAACAGTTGGGCTCCAGCGTTAGGGCTCTCACCTTCCAGGCTCGGAAGCCACCTACGGACGTGCAGGCCCAGGGGAAGTGACTGCCAGGGGTGTTTAGGCAAATGGGTCTGACCTCGTGGCAGGCTCCCTGGGCACAGAGATTGGCAGTGACCTGGACACTGAAAGGCATGAGGGAAGCACTGAACCCAAGGGGTCCGTTACCGAGGAGATGCCATGGCCAACACGTGCATGAACCCCACCAAAGACCGGCATGATGGGGACCCCTCAAGAACACCAGCGTAGACAAGTGACATTCCCAACCCCCCAACCCTGAGGCTATCTGCCAACCTGGGACTGACCTGACCAAGATGGAGCTTCCCCTAGCAGGGGTACCAAGTTCACAACGAGATTATGTTGGTTAAATGACAGCCCACCAGTCCTCTGCATTCTGGGCAGGAGGGCTACACGAAGCAGGGACAGCAGCCGGCAGCAGGCTGAGAGGGCACAGGAGTGACCTCGAGGTCCTCCCCGCCACCCCCTGACGTCCCGTGGTGTTCTCCATTTTGCAGATGGGGAAATAGGACTCACTCATCCACAGCCTCGTGGCAGGCAAGTGCCGGGTCAGGCTGCAAGCTCAGGTCTGCCTGACTCCTACCTCAGGGACCGCTGGCCCACATGTTCTGTGGGGATCCATGGGTCATCCGGCTGTGGATGGACACCGGGAGAGAACATTCCACGGCGAGCTGAAGGGATGAGTTGGGTGACCTTCTGACCCCAAAGCCTTCAGTTTTAAACCCGTCCTTTGGCTGTTGCCTAAGCACCAGGCATCCAGAGGAGTCAAAGAGGATGAGAGGGTGAGGCTTGGGGTAGAGAAGCCACGTGTGAGTTGATGAGGCCTGAGCCAGGGCAGCGGCCAGGGCAGCAGCCAGGTAGACGAGAGTAGGGATGCTGACAAGAGAAGCTGAAGCAGCGGGATGGGTGGGACATGCTGCCTGGTGAGTGTGGGGAAGGGTTGATGGGCAGGGGTGGAAGGAGAAGGACAGCCCCAGGGTGCAGAGGCCTGCTGGCTGGGTGATGATACCTCAAACAGAGAGAGCAGTGGGCCAGGTAGGAAGAGCTGAGTGTCAGACAACTTGGGAGCTGAGACACTGGGGTCTCAGAGAGGAGATGTCTGGGGAGGGGGGATAGCAGGGCTATGGATTTGGGGCACAGGGACCCATCAGATGCCCATTTGGTGTCATGGAGGAGCAGGTTGGAGTGGGAACAGCCCTGAGGGCAGTGCCACTGAGTGTGAGAGGAAACCAAGAGATGAGATGAAGTCCTGGGAACACCACCATGTCAGGATGGTGGTGGGGAGGGGAGGAGCAGGAGCAACCTGAGAGATTGGAGGAACAGCGTGCATTCAGGAGGCATGTATTGAGCACCTACTATGTGCCAGGCACCGTTCCAGGCCCTGGGAACACAGAAGTGAACAAAACAGACGAGGTCCCTGCCCTCTGGCAGCTCACAGACCAAAAGCAATGCTCTTAAGAACAGTGGTGGTAAGTGCTAAGAGGAAAGCCAAACCAGGTGAAGGGGTAGAAGGAAGGTGACTATTGTACAGAGGACGGACAAGGAGGGCCTTTCCGAGGAGGTGACATTTAACCAAAGACGTGAGGGCGGTCAGGGGTGAGACCTGTGGGTATCTGGGCGAGGGGTGCTCCAGGAATTAAGGACATTTGCTCTGATGCTGAAGAGATGGGAGCCATGGGGAGGGTTTGGGCAGAGGAGGGACAGGACCTGACTCAGGTTTGAGAAGGACCCCGCTGCCTGCTGTGTGCAGACAGGACAGGTGGGGCCAGGTGGAAACAGGGAGCCCAGGATGGTGGCTGTGAGGACCGTGTCGAAAGGAAGGAGATGGAGATGGCTGTCCAAGGTGGGCCATGGAGGTAGGGAGAGTGGTTGGGGCAGGAGGCTTTGTAGAGGAGAGTTTGCTGATGGAGACAGCTTCTGGAAGGATGTGCTGGGCAGCAGTTCTAGGTTTGCCAGGAGGTCAAGTATGATGGAGACTGAGCCGTGGCCATTGGGTGTGGGAGGTGGCCTTATGGGAGCGAGGGAGTGGGCACCGAGGCAGCAGAGGCAGAGCATGTGGCTTCTGAGAGCCAGGCCGGAAGCCAGAGGGGCCATGGGATGAAGAGGCTTGCTTCCCCTCTTCTCTTTCTCTTCCTTCTGAAACAGGGAAGATGCCTGGATGCGATTAAACCTGAAGGGGAGGACCAGCAGGGAGGGAGGAGTGGACGGAGACACAGGAAGGATGGCTGAGTTGAGGAACTGAGGGGCGGCAGGGGATGGGCTCACAGCCTGGAATGGAGCAGCGGCCGTGGCCCCTGGAGACAGGCCTGGGGACTGGAGGGTGCACAGGTGGACCTGCAGGTGTGGGGCAGGCTGCTGAGGGCATCTCTCTCCTGGGCCCTGTTTCTGTGGCAGGAGGCCCATGGTCTGGTGAGAGGACGGGTGGGGCTCAGGATGGAGGCCTCAGGAAGGTGAAGTTTGGAGTAACTCTTATGGGCCTGGGAACAGGTGCCTGAAGACACAAATTTCAGGGCAGCACAGAGCCCCCACTGGGTTGGCTCCAGAGTGTGAAGCCAAAAGCTCCCTGTGGGGAAGGACCTGAGGGTGGGATGGTAGAGGCTGGAGGTGTTGCAGGACAGGTAGCGGGAGGGCAGGTGGGCAGAGGATTATGGGGAGATGCTGAGTGAGGGCAGAGGAGACGGATGGTCTGGGCAGGAGGGAAGCAGGAGGTTAAGTGCGCTTGTGCACGAGGCCTGTGAAGGTGTGCATGGCGCATGTTGGTTACACGGATGCAGGGCAGCCTCTCCCTTGAGGATGGAGCCAACCGGGGTGTGCGAAAGGCTATCCTTTGGAAAACAGGGGGAAATACCAGAACGTCAGTTTTCGTGATTTCATACGTCATCGTTCTTAAAAGATTGTTTTGGTGATTTTTAGAGAGAAGAAGGAAGAGGAAGGGAGAGGGGAACACTGATGTGAATGAGACATTGATTGGCTGTCTCCTGCACAATCCCTACTGGGAATTGAACCAGCAACCTTTTGGTGCATGGAACAGTGCCTAACCTACGGAGCCACACTGGCCAGGGTCCTATGTCATCTTTTCAATGTGCATTTCCATTTGTGTCATACCTTGTACATATGATCTTCATGTGGGCACACGTGTGTAACGATCTAGTAAAAATGCGCATGTGAGGGAGTGACCGTTGCTGCTGGGGCACATCATTGGGACAGTTTGCAAACCGCAGGCAAGAAGGGCCCTCTCCTGGGAGAGGCCCCTCGGGGAACATGCTTGTCTCCTTTGTGTGCACCGTAGTCTCTAAGCTGCTGTCTGCTGCTTAACACACTCACACGCTCCGGGAACCGGTTCACTCCTCTCCACTCCCTGCTATCGGACAGACGGTCTCTGGTCTCCGGTGCTGGGTCCTGTTTGCTCCCGCGGTAACTCCTACGTAGGGGGCTGGCCGGGCCATCTGGGAACCTGCAGGATGCCTTTCCTGCCACTACACTGGCCCCGGGGCCAAGCCTGCCTGGTTCACGTCAGTGTCTGACCTGGAGTGTGTGCTGCAAGAATGAGGGCTGAAGCTCCTAGCCGCGCTGGCCTCAGTCCATCAGCAGGTGTGTCTTTTCCTGCTCAGAATCCTGCAATGGCTCCCAGGGTCCTTGGAGCAAGAGCCAGAGTCCTCCCAGAGGCCCCTAAGGCCCCACGTGGGCTGCCCTCCCCTTCCTTCCCCTCTCAGGTCTTGTCCCTCACCCTTCATCCCCCTCCTCCTCTGCTCCAGCCACCCTGGCCATCCTGCCGTTCCAAACACCCGGCTGCATCCCCACTGCCCAGCCTTTGTGCTCCTGGTCCCTCCTCCCAGGTCCCTGCAGGGACCACTCCTTCACTCCCTTTGTCCTCTGGGTTCAAATGTTGCCTTCTCTTGGCTCCTCTGACCTCAAATAGCCACCCCGGGTCACTTCCTGCCTTTCCCCTCTTCCATTTTGCATCATCCTCTGGCCGGGTAGATTTTTACTGTCTCTCTCTCTCTCTCTCTCTCTCTCTCTCTCTCTCTCTCTCTTAAATATATTCTATTGATTTTTTTACAGAGAGGAAGGTAGAAGGATAGAGAGTTAGAAACATCGATGAGAGAGAGACATCGATCAGCTGCCCTCTGCACACCCCCCACTGGGGATGTGCCCACAACCAAGGTACATGTTTCTAACCGGAATCGAACCCGGGACCTTTCAGTCCGAAGGCCGACACTTTATCCACTGAGCAAACCGGTCTCGGCTGTCCATCTCTTTATGCCTCTGTCCCCACCTCAGTCCAGAGGGGACATGCTGTTTATTTGCTGCTGAGTCCCCGGAGGCTTTTATCAGGTGAGTGAGTGATTGGCAGTGAGGGAGTCAGGTTTCCCGCTCTGGCCCTTCCCAGGCTCACTGTGTGGCCTTAGGCCAATCAATCCCTGCCCCTCTCTGGGCCTCATTATCTCAGTCCATGCAATTCAGAGACAAGGGTGCCACCAGCCTGGCCCTTGGTGCCCAGGGAGGGCCTCTGGGGTGGATGCTGCAGCTGCCAATTGCTGCCCACCCCCTCCACCCCCTGCAGGCCCAACCCGTACCTTCTGCAGCCGCTGCGTGTTGTTCTCCAGCATCTTCTCCAGGTGTTGCATCCTCTTGGTAGGCCAGGCCACCAGGTTCAGCGAGTCTCTCTGGAGGCTGTTGGAGCCCCGGAAGGTCCCAGTGTCCGGAGCGCAGGCCTCTGGCTCAGGCAGCAGGAAGGTGTAGCTGCACTGACCATGCTGGACACGGTGCGCCAGGCGGCGCTCTCTCACCTCCTGCCCCCTCCGCTGGGCCACGGTCACGGTGGCCACGGCGAGGAGGAGGCCCCCCAGCAGCATGGCCGGCCAGGAGAGCATCCAGAGACGCGGTGATGACGAGGGGGGGAGGCCTGGCCGGAGCCCGCAGGCCCCACTCCGTGCCCGGGGTGTCCCCGCGGTGGCCAGCAGCAGACAGGTCTGCCCCAGAACCGCTGCAGCGGCAAACCCCTGTTTGGCCAAGCTCCACCCAGACAGCTATTTATACTCGTTCCAGATGCCACAGCTGCTCAGCTCCTCCCACCGGCCTGCTCGCTCCCAGCTCTCCCTCACCTCTGTTCTTCCCCTTTCCCTTCCTTCCTCTCACAGGCCCTCCTGCTACCCCGCCTGTGCACTAGCCCTGCTGTGCGTGGGGCCTCAGAGCCCTTATTACCCCATGGGGACCCGCCTCCCTGGGAGAGCACAGGCGAGAAAACTGCCCACGGACGTGTGCACACACACGCACAGAGCCACACGCACACACCCCAGGGCCGCCTGCTGCAGAAAACCTACCCAACTATCTCTTCCTGTCTCTGTCTCTGTCTCTCTTCCCAGCCTCCTCCCACGAAGGCCGGGATCTCAGATTTCAGCACCCCATGCCTCCGCTCTCCCCCACCCCCAGCGTGCTCCTGCTCCAGTTCCGTGTGAGCGTTTGGCACACACGGGGAATAACCGGGATAGAGCAAAAGGAGGGCGGAGGGGTGAGGCTGGGGAGGGGGCAGCCCGTCCAACCTGTTTCAGAGACAGAAAGACCTTTCAAGGCTGGGAAGTGCATGCTTCACCACGGAGCTGCTCCCTCGGGGAGAGCCAGGGATATGTGCCCTGAGGTGGCCCTGGCCCAGCTCCTGTGACAGCGCAGAGGAGAGGCGGTCCGTCCTGGGGCCGAGGGACAGGCTGTCCGTCCTGGGGCAGGCTGCTCTGCGGTGACTCTGAGGGAGGTGGAGGGCTGGGAGAAGAGCTTGGGAGGCAGCCCCGGAGTCAGAGGCGGCTGGCTCTCAGCCGCTCCCCAGCTGCAGGCCCTGAGACCTGGGTGGGCAGCGTCCCCTCCCTGGGCTTCCCCGTCCCCACCGTCAGCTGAGTAAACCCATCTCTTGCAGGAGGAAGGCCTGTGAGCCCCCAGCATGGGGCCTGAGGGGCTGTCGATGTACTTATCTGTCTACTGCTTCAAATCCTGGCTCCACGACTTACCACGACTTACCTTCAACTGTGGGCAAGTCACTTGGCTTCTCTGTTCTCCCTCTTGACAAACCGAGTGAAATACCGCCCACGTCTCAGGGTGTGAAAATCGGCCAGTTAGAACAGTGCCGGCACCGGGTGAGTGGAAATGATTATTGTAAATTATTGTCAGGGTCGTAGTTATTATTATATCTATCTCCCCTCCCTCAACCCAAGGGAACATTAACCCCACGAGGCCCAGGAGTTGGCGGACGTTGTTGCTGGGCAGAAGGTGCCCGGAGCTGGCTGGGGGCTCTCCTGGGTGGCTGCCTTCCGGCGTTCTCTGCCCTTTTTCCCGGAGTGAGGACAGATCCGGCTGTTGGGTATTGTTTTGTTCCCTTTGTTTTCCCAAATCCTGTTGGGATTTTGAACAGGGCAGCTGCTTGGGACAGTGGCGAGCTGGGGCCCATCCGGGGCACGGAGAACATTCCGCCAGGTGTGCCGACTGGCTGGGGCAGGAAAAGGAAAGGCAGCTGGGCATCAGGCACCTGCATGCGCCAGCTTCCCGCGTGCTGAGAGCCCCATTCTCACCTCCCCCTCAGGGTCAGAGGTCACACCGCCTGCGACCTGGCGAGGAAGAAGTGTGGTCACACAGGCTGGGGTTTATTATAGTGCCTGGCATGCATGAGTCCCGAGTAAAAAAGCCTTCCGTTAGGACTGAGTAGGTTGAGCTTCGCAGTGAGACCAGCTTTATTATCCACTTATTTTACAGAAGAGCACGTGGAACCCTAGAGGAGAAGAGGGATTTGCCTAAGGTTACACGGCCCGGAGCGCTTGGTCGGAACAGAAGGAGGACAGGCGTGGCCACCAGGCTGTCCCAGAGCCTAACCCACTCTCCCAGGGCAGCGTGCAGCGTGCAGCGTGCAGCGTGCAGTGTGCAGTGTGCAGGGACAGCAGCCCCTCGTTCTCTGTCTCCTCACTGCGCTGTAGCGAGAGCATTAAACCTCCTTGTGAGACAGCAACGTGATGATGGGAAGCCTCCAGCACAGGTGATGCATTTAATCTTCCTGATGGAGTGAATGAATGAATGTAATGTAAGTGCCTTCCTTGCATAGACTTAAACAGACACAGGCCCTAAAGTTGCACGAGGGTCTCTCTTTACAAAAGAAGAAACAGAACTACCTATCCACAGAAGAAATGTCGATCGGATAAAAAGGAGAATTCTAGAAAGCCTGGGAAATGGCCTGCCAATCCCTGCACCTTCATTGCAGCACCCCTTCTGACCCCAGGGCCTTCGCATATGCTGCTTTCTCTTGTTCAGAGCACTACTGCCTGCCCACACTCCCCCTTACCCACTTTTCACCAGCTTTCCGTTACTGTGGCTGCCAATAGGTTACTCCAAAACTTAGTGGCTTAAGACCAAAGTAACCATTTATGGTTTCTCAGGGTTTCTGTAGAGCAGGAATTGGTGAGCAGCTCAGCTGGACAGTCTGCTCGGGCCTCTCATGAGGTCGCAGGCTGAGCGAGGGTCATCTGTAAGCTTCTTCATCTCACCGGCCAGCCCCTGGGCGTCCCCCATCACCCTCCATGTTTCTTCAGGGGTCTGCAGCATGGCGGCTTCAGGCAGCCACGCTTCCTCCATGGCTGCTTGGGGCTACAAAGGTGCCGTCCCCAGAGCCAGGTGGGCGTTAGGTCACCTTCTATGACCAGCCTTAGAGGTCACTCAGCGGAACTTCTACCGCCTTCCATTGGCCCGGGCCTCCCCAGGTCCTAGGCAGGGCTGGAGACCCCCCTCTATGGAGGGCGTCATTGTCACAGGACGCACGTGCTGGAGGGGCGGGGCGCCGCCGTGACCCTCTGGGAGGTGGTACCGGCAGGAGAAGCTTTTGCATCTTTCACTGTTTTAGTTGGAATATTGCCGACACGTGCTCACACAGGCCCTAGGCCCTGTTCAAGCTTTAAAACACCCCCCCCCCCAAGTCTTTGCCCTTTGTTCGAACCCTTCTCAAGGTTAACTGCTTGTGTGGTGACTCATCTCTGTTTGTTTGTCCCCAGCATGGGATATGCAGTTTGTTCTCAGGAAATACCTGCCAGAAGAATGAATGAATGCATGTGTGAATGAATGAATGGATGGATGGATGGATGGATGCAATGCTTGAGCCAGGCTCTCCCTGCCTGGAGACGGGGACCAGGAGGGATGCTATGGAGTCACTGTGGGCCACACCGGTGGTCGGCAAACTGCGGCTCGCGAGCCACATGCGGCTCATTGGCCCCTTGTGTGGCTCTTCCACAGAATATCACGTGCATGAAACTTCGTGGCCCATGCGCAGAAGTCGGTTTTTGGCGCTCAAAAGAAATGTCCATCGTTGTGCTGTTGATATTTGGCTCTAATGAGTTTGCTGACCACTGGGCTACACTAACAGGGTGAGCCTGGCGGACCCAGACCCGAGGGTGTCCGCTCTGGGCCCAGTTTCCTCCTCCTCCATTGGAGAGCGTGAATAGGCCCTATCCTCGCCCCCTGTCCCCCCCTCCCTCACCAGATCGCACAGAGGTGAGCTGTAGAGAAGATTCATAAATGGTCAAGCTGCCGAGGACCTTTAAACACAGGCCTCTCAGCCAGTGTCCGGGGGGTTTGGGCATCAGGCCAGCCCGGAGAGGAGCTGCGCAGAGGGACCTCGCAACTCTCAGGGAAACAGGGACCAGCATGTGGCAAGGCAGCAGCAGGTACCAGGCGCTGGCGGCAGGGCCCAGAGAAGGAATGGGGAGACGCCATCTGGGTCAGGCGGCAAGTTCAGGGAGCCCACGTGCCAGTGCCCAAAGGCAGCATCCAGCGGTGGCCCCGGAAGGGCCGTTGGCAGTCAGCGTACTCTGTGGGGGAACTTATCCCGACCCCATTCCGAGCCCCACACCCGGAGCCATCTCTGTTTCCTGGACACAGCCCTCAGGGCCTGAGACCCAGCTCCCGTCCCTGCTCCCCTGCTGAGCCCCAGGCAAGCTTCTCCCTGTGCTTCCCACATTGGTCAGTGCACAGCCTCCCCCGGCACCTGCGGCAGGAACCTGGGGACATGGGACCCAAAGGGGCTGAGGGGAGGAGAGTCATGGGAGCCTGGGGGAGGGCGGCCAGAAAGGAATGGGTGCTGACGGGCATAAAACACCCGGCCTCCTGCGTCCCCATCCTGGCCCCTCACCCAGTGAACCAGCTCCCCACCCCGGCCCCGGGGAGCCGGCTCCTCACTGTGCTGTAGCGAGAGCATTGAGCAGGGTGCTACGGGCCCTCACCTCGCATTTAGCTGGTGAGGAAGCACACCCTGAGGAGGAGGCAACAGACTGGAATCTGTGCTCCTGGGAGAACTGATCTTTCTGCTCCTGGGAGCACAGGCAGGGAAACCGGTCATTACTGGCGAGTCGCTTGTTAATTGGGGCTCCTCTGATATTTGGGTCCAAAGAAGAGTTTGAAGTCACCCCGACCCCTGGCCGCATCCCCAGGACCCAGCACGCCCCCACTCAGCTCCCTGCATCTCAACAGGGTGATGCGTGAGGGTTGCAGACCTGGCAGCTTAAAGCACCCCAAAGCCTCTGGTCCTATGCTGCTCACGTCCCTGCGGACGTGCCCTGGGCATCTCTTAGGGCCACTGAGGGTGCGGTCCCGGCACGAAGCCCTGGGGCTGCTGACAACCCCGGAGACATCTGTCAGTGTCCCCAAGACTCGGGGGATGAATCTGTGGAGCAGGAATCATTGGCCGACCCCTGCCCTCCCCCCCAAGACAACAATCTGTCAACTGTCCCACCTCTAATCTCCACCGCCCCAAACCCAAGCCACAGCACAATTGATCCATCAGAAGGGACACCAAGGTGAGTTTTGGGGTCACTCCGGTGACCCAGGACTAAAGATTAAGAGCCTCCGACTT